TCCTGATAGGTCAACTGTGAGGCTTGTAGCAGTGTTAATGATTCCTTCTGTGGTTGAGGCTTGTAGCAGTGTGGTAATGTAAGAGTTCCTTCCTGATAGGTCAACTGTGAGGCTTGTAGCAGTGTGTGGAGTAATGTAAGAGTTCCCTTCCTGATAGGTCAACTGTGAGGCTTGTAGCAGTGTGTGAGTAATGTAGGTTCCTTCCTGATAGGTTAACTGTGAGCAGCAGTGTGTCGAGTAATGTAAGAGTTCCCTTCCTGATAGGTTAACTGTGAGGCTTGTAGCAGTGTGTCGAGTAATGTAAGAGTTCCCTTCCTGATAGGTCAACTGTGAGGCTTGTAGCAGTGTGTCGAGTAATGTAAGAGTTCCCTTCCTGATAGGTCAACTGTGAGGCTTGTAGCAGTGTGTCGAGTAATGTAAGAGTTCCCTTCCTGATAGGTCAACTGTGAGGCTTGTAGCAGTGTGTCGAGTAATGTAAGAGTTCCCTTCCTGATAGGTCAACTGTGAGGCTTGTAGCAGTGTGTCGAGGTAATGTAGAGTTCCTCCTGATAGGTCAACTGTGAGGCTTGTAGCAGTGTGTGGAATAATTTTTGTTGGGTTTGTTTGGTTGGTTGTGTGTGGTGGTTTTTGGGTTGGTGGTGTGTGGGTTTTGGTTGTGGTTGTGGTGTGTGGGTTTTGTGGTGGTTGTGTTTGTGGTTTTTGGGTTGTGGGTTGTGTGTGTTTTTGGGTTTGTGTGGGTGTGTGTGGTTTTGTGGTGTTAGTGTGTGGTATGTGAGTTCCCTTCCTGATAGGTTACTGGGTTGTGTTTTTTTGGTTTGTGAGGCTTGTAGCAGTGTGTGAGTAATAAGTTCCCTTCTGATAGGTCAACTGTGAGGCTTGTAGCAGTGTGTGAGTAATGTAAGTTCCCTTCCTGATGAGTCAACTGTGAGGCTTGTAGCAGTGTGTCAGTAATGTAAGTTCCTTCCTGATAGGTCAACTGTGAGGCTTGTAGCAGTGTGTCGAGTAATGTAAGAGTTCCTTCCTGATGGGTAACTGTGAGGCTTGTGCAGTGTGTCGAGTAATGTAAGAGTTCCTTCTGATAGGTTAACTGTGTGGGGCTTGTAGCAGTGTCGAGAATATGTAGAGTTCCCTTCTGATAGGTCAACTGTGAGCTTGTAATGTGAATGTGTAAGAGTTCCTTCTGTTGAGTCACTGGGCTAGCAGTGTGTCGAGTAATGTAAGAGTTCCCTTCCTGATGGGTCAACTGTGAGGCTTGTAGCAGTGTGTCGAGTAATGTAGAGTTCCCTTCCTGATAGGACTGTGAGGCTTGTAGCAGTGTGTGAAATGTCTCAGAGTTCCTTCCTGATAGGTTAACTGTAAGGCTTGTAGCAGTGTAATGAGAATGATATAAGGGATTCCCTTCCTGATGATCAACTTCAGGGAAAACATGGCAGTGGTAATAGAATAATGTAAGAGTTCCCTTCTGATAGGTTAACTGTGGGGCTTGTAGCAGTGTAATAGAATGATATGAGTTCCTTCCTGATGGGTCAACTGTGAGGCTTGTAGCAGTGTGTGGGAAGTAATGTAAGAGTTCCTTCCTGATAGGTCAACTTTGAGGCTTGTACCAGTGTGTCGAGTAATGTAAGAGTTCCTTCCTGATAGGTTAACTGTGAGCTTATAGCAGTGTGTCGATAATGTAAGGGATTCCCTTCTGATAGGTCAACTTCAGGGCTTGTAACGGTATAAAATAATGTAGAAGTTCCCTTTACAATGGGTTAACTGTGAGGAAGCTTGTAGCAGTGTGTGAGAGTAATGTAAAGACTTCCCTTTCACAATGGGTTAACTGTGGGGAAGCTTGTGGCAGTGTAATAAAGTAATGTAAGAGTTCCCCTTCCTGATAGGTTAACTCAGCAGGCTTGTAACCAGTAGTAATAAGTAATGTAAAGGTTCCTTCTGATGGAGTCCTTTGTGAGGCTTGTAGCAGTCAATGTGAAATTAATGCATAAAATTCCCTTCCTGATAGGTCAACTGTGAGGCTTGTAGCAGCAGTGTGTCGATAATGTAAAGAGAGTTCCCTTCTGATAGGTCAACTGTGAGGCTTGTAGCAGTGTGTCGAGTAATGTAGGTTCCTTCCTGATGGGTCAACTGTGAGGGCTTGTAGCAGTGTGTCGAGTAATGTAGGTTCCCTTCCTGAGTAGGTTAACTTCTTGAGGCTTATATGAGTATTAATAGAATGTGTAAGGTTCCCTTCACAATGGAAGGATTAACTGTAGGGAAGCGCTGATGTGTCAAGTAATGTAAGTTCCTTCCTGATAAGTCATTTATAATGAGCTTGTAGCAGTGTGTAAAGTAATATGAGTTCCCTTCCTGATAGGTCAACTGCTGAGGCTTGCTTGGCAGTGTGTCAAAATGTCTGAGTTCCTTCCTGATGGAGTCCCAACTGTGAGGCTTGTAGCAGTGTGTGAGTAATGTAAGAGTTCCCTTCCTGATAGGTCCCAACTGTGAGGCTTGTAGCAGTGTAGCCGAGTAATGTAAGGTTCCCTTCTGATGGGTCAACTGTGAGGCTTGTAGCAGTGTGTGGTAATGTAGAGTTCCCCACTTCCTGATGAATCTCTTGAGGCTGCAGCAGTGTGTCCCGTGTGTAGAGTTCCCTTCTGATAAGGTCAACTGTAGGCTTGTAGCAGTGTGTAAAAGTGTGTAGAGTTCCTTCCTGATAGGTTAACTGTGAGGCTTGTGGCAGTGTGTCGAGTAATGTAAGGTTCCTTCCTGATAGGTCCCAACTGTGAGGCTTGTAACCGGTGTGTGGGAAGTAATATAGAGTTCCTTCTGATAAGGTTCTTATGAGGCATGGCAGTGTCGAGTAATGTAGAGTTCCCTTCCTGATAGGTCAACTGTGAGCTTGTAGCCAGTGTGTAGAGAGTAATGCTTAGAGTTCCCTTCCTGATAGAGTTAACTGTAAGGGCTTGTAGCAGTGTGTCCGAGAGTAATGTAAGAGTTCCCTTCCTGGTAAGTCCTTTCTTGAGGGCTTGCTTAGCAGTGTGTCGAGTAATGTAAGAGTTCCCTTTCCTGATAGGTCAACTCTGAGGCTTGCAGTGTGTCGAGTAAATGTAAGAGTTTCCTTCCTGATAGGTCAACTGTGAGGCTTGGCAGTGTGTCGAGAGTAATGTAGAGTTCCTTCCTGATAGGTCAACTGTGAGGCTTGTATGTCAGGCTGTGTAAGAGTTCCTTCCTGATAGGTCAACTGTGAGGCTTGTAGCAGTGTGTGCGAGTATTATAAGAGTTCCTTCCTGATAGGTCAACTGTAGGGCTTGTAGCAGTCAACTATTAGAGAGTAATGTAGAAGTTCCCTTCCTGATGAGTCAACTGTGAGGCTTGCTTAACATTAATGGGTAATGTAAGAGTTCCTTCCTGATAGGTCAACTGTGAGGCTTGTAGCAGTGTAATAGGAAGTAATGTAAGAGTTCCCTTCCTGATAGGTCAACTGTGAGGCTTGTAGCAGTGTGTCGAGAGTAATGTATAAGGTTTGCTTACAATGGAGTCAACTGTGAGGGCTTGTAGCAGTGTGTCGAGGTAATGTAAGAGTTCCCTTCCTGATAGGTCAACTGTAGGGCTTGTAGCAGTGTGTCGAGTAATGTAGAGTTCCTTCTGATAGGTCAACTGTGAGGCTTGTAGCAGTGTGTCGAGTAATGTAGAGTTCCTTCCTGTTCTGGGTCAACTGTGAGGGCTTGTAGCAGTGTGTGTGATAATGTAAAGAGTTCCTTCCTGATAGGTCAACTGTGAGCCTTAGCAATGTGGCAAGTGTCATGAGTTCCTTTGTTGGTCAACTGTGAAACTGCTAGCAGTGTAAAGTAATGTAAGAGTTCACTTCCTCATAGGTCGCTGCTTGAGGCTTGTAACGATAGTAATAGAGTAATGTAAGAGTTCCCTTCCTGATGAGTCAGCACTGTGAGGCTTGTAGTGTGTCGAGTAATGTAAGGGGATTTCACTTCCTGATGATCTTCTATAGAGCTTGTAACAACATTGTAAAATGTGAGTTCCCTTCCTGATAGGTCAACTGTAGGGCTTGTAGCAGTGTGTCAGTAATGTAAGAGTTCCCTTCCTGATAGGTCAACTGTGGGAGAAACATGGCAGTGTGTCGGTAATATGAAGGTTTCCCTTCCTGGTAAGAGTTCAACTGTGAGGGCTTGTAGCAGTGTGTCAGATAATGCTCAGAGTTCCCTTCTGATAGGTCAACTGTGGGGCCTTAGCAGTGTGTCGGTAATGTAAGAGTTCCCTTCCTCACTGAAGTCTTTCTGTGAGGCTTGTAGCAATGTGTCGAGAGTAATGTAAGAGTTCCCTTCTGATAGGTCAACGCAAGGGCTTGTAGCAGTGTAATAGAAATGTGTAAGTTCCCTTACAATGGTCAACTGTGAGCTTGTAGCAGTGTGTCGAGTAATATGGGGTTCCCTTCCTGATAGGTCAACTGTGAGGCTTGCTTGGCAGTGTGTCGAGAAGTAATATAAGAGTTCCCTTCCTGGTGAGTGAACTGCTTGAGGCTTGTAACAGTGTGTCGAGAGTAATGTGAGTTCCCTTCTGATAGGTCGCTGTGAGGCTTGTAGCAGTGTGTCGAGTAATGTAAGGAGTTCCCTTCCTGATGGAGTTAACTGTGAGGCTTGTGGCAGTGTGTCGATGATGAAGTTCCCTTCTGATAGGTCAACTGTGGGAAGCATGCATGAGAATGTAGCCAGGCTCATCACTGAGTTCCCTTCCTGATAAGGTTACTTTCTGGGAGGCTTGTAGCAGTGTGTCGAGAAGTAATGTAGAGTTCCTTCTGATGGAGTCAACTGTGGGCTTGTAGCAGTGTGGTCGAAATCAATGTAAGAGTTCCCTTCTGATAGGTTAACTGTAGAGGCTTATATGATGTGTAAAATGTCTTAAAGAGTTCCCTTCCTGATGAGTCAACTGTGAGAACCCCCTTGGCAGTGTAGCCGAGTAATGTAAGTTCCTTCCTGATGGAGAATATTTCTTTGGAAGGAAGCATAGCAGTATAATGTGAGAGTTCCCCTTCCTGATGGAGGTCAACTGTGAGGCTTGTGGCAGTGTGTCGAGAGTAATGTAGGTTCCCTTCCTGATAGGTCAACTGTGAGGCTTGTAGCAGTGTGTCGAGAGTAATATAGAGTTCCCCTTCCTAGTTAACTGTGAACTTGTAGCAGTGTGTCAGTAATGTAAGAGTTCCTTCCTGATAGGTTAACTGAGGCTTGTAGCAGTGTGTGTCGAAATGTGTAGAGTTCCTTTAAATGCAGAGTTAACTGTGAGGCTTGTAGCAGTGTGTCGAAATATGAAGTTCCCTTCCTGATGGAGTCAACTGTGAGGCCTTGGCAGTGTGTGAGGTAATGTAAGGTTCCCCTTCCTGATAGAGTTAACTGTAAAGGCTTGTATGTCTCTGGGAAATGTCCATAAAGTTCCTTCTGATAAGTACTTCATGAGGCTTGTAGCAGTGTGTGAAATAATGTAAGAGTTCCTTCTGATAGGTTAACTGTGAGGCTTGTAGCAGTGTGTGAGTAATGTAAAGAGTTCCTTCTGATGGAGTTATGTGAGGCTTGCCCAACATGATACCTGTGAGAATCAATATGGGGATTCCCTTCCTGACAGGTTAACTGTGAGGCTTGTAGCAGTGTGTCAGAGTAATGTGAGTTCCCTTCTGATAGGTTAACTGTTGAGGCTTGTAGCAGTGTGTGTGGGAATGTGTAAAGGTTCCCCTTCCTGATAGGTTAACTGTGAGGCTTGTATGCTAAATGTGTCCGAGTAATGCCAAGGTTCCCTTCCTGATAGAGTCAACTGTGAGGCCCGCAGCAGTGTTATTAAAGTAATGTAAGGTTCCCTTCCTGATGGAGTCAACTGTGAGCTTGTGATGTCAATGGAAATGTGTAAGAGTTCCCTTCTGATGGGTCAACTGTGAGGCTTGTAGCAGTGTGTGAAGTAATGTAAGGTTCCTTCCTGATAGGTCAACTGTGAGGAAGCATAGCAGTGTGTGAGTAATGTAAGAGTTCCCTTCCTGATGAGTCAACTGTGGAAAACACTTGGCAGTGTGTGAAACCAATGTAAGGGATTCCCCGCTTCTGATAGGTCAACTGTGAGGCTTATGGCAATTAATGTCGAGTAATGTGAGAGTTTCCCTTCCTCACTGGGTCAACATGAGGCTTATGTAGTGTGTCAAACAATGTAAGTTCCCCTTCCACAGTAGGTTAACTGTGAGGGCTTGTGGCAGTGTGTCGAGAATGATATGAGTTCCCTTCCTGATAGGTCAACTGTGGGGCTTGTAGCAGTGTAATGAAATGTGTAAGAGTTCCCTTCTGATAGGTCAACTGTGAGGCTTGTGGCAGTGTGTCGAGGTAATGTAGAGTTCCTTCTGATAGGTCAACTGTGAGGCTTATGGCAGTGTGTGGGAATGTTATAAAGTTCCCCTTCCTGATGATGGAGTTAACTGTGGGGCTTGTAGCAGTGTGTGGAAATAATATAGAAATTCTCTATTAGAGTCACCTAGCAAGAACTTATAGTATATAAAACCAGAGTGCTAGCAAAACTTATATAATGTGTAAAAATATATAAATTCTCTAATAGAAGTCACTTTTACTAAAAGGCACCCAATGGTATGGCCGAGTAATATAAGTTTTCCACTTCTGACCAGATTTAACTAATGAGACTTGTAGCAATGTCGGTAATAGCAAGTTCCTTCTGACAGGTCAACTAACAGGCTGCCAGCAGTGTGTGAAATTCTCCTGACCAGGTTACTGTAGGGCTGCAACAGTGGCCAGTAGCCAAGTTCCCACTTCCAGTGGGTCAACCTGTGAGGCTGGCAACAGTGGCCGAGAATGACAGGGTTCCTGTGGATGGGATCAGATGGTGTGGCAGTGTGTGAAATGACAGGTTCCTTGATAGGTCAACAGCAAGACTTGTAGCAGTGACCAATGAGAATGATAGCCAGGTTCCCTTCTGACCAGGTCAACTGTGAGGGCTGTGACAGTGGTGGCCAAGGTGTGTGGGGTTTTCCTTCTGACCCAGGTCTAACTGTGAAACATGGCAGTGTGTGTGCAGAGTTCCCTTCTGTTAGGACCTGGCAAGGGCTGTAACAGTGTGTGGTACTGTGGAGTTCCCCCTTCCTGATAGGTCAATCTGGGCTGTAACAGTAGCCGAAAATAATATAAAATTCTTCTATTGGAATTCTTTCTTGAGAGCTTGTAACAAATATAGGCCCTGGCAAAATTTCTTCAGACAGAGATTACTATAGGCCACTATGTATACTTAAAATATGTAAGAATTTCCCTTCACAGCCAAATTACTAGCAAGGCATGTAGCAATACATAGCCAATATGTAAATTCCCACTTCTAATAAATTGCTGTGAGCATAACAATATATAAAATAACCATAAAATTTCCCTTCTGAGGCTTGTAGCAGTGTATGAAGTAATAAGTTCCCTTCTGATAGGATTAACTGTGAGGCTTGTAGCAGTGTGTGAAGTAATGTAAGTTCCCTTCTGATGAGTCAACTGTAGAGAGCTTGTAGCAGTATGTCAGTATTGTAAGTTCCTTCCTGATAGGTCAACTGGGGCTTGTAGCAGTGTGTCGAGGTAATGTAAGGGTTCCTTCCTGATGGGTAACTGTGAGGCTTGTAGCAGTGTGTCGAGAGTAATGTGAAGTTCCTTCTGATAGGTTAACTGTGTGGGGCTTGTAGCAGTGTCGAGAATGATGTGGAGTTCCCTTCTGATAGGTCAACTGTACAGAAGCAGGTAATGTAGAATGTGTAAGAGTTCCCTTTCTAGTTGAGTCAACTGCTGGAAGCATAGCAGTGTGTCGAGTAATGTAAGGTTCCCTTCCTGATAGGTCAACTGTGAGGCTTGTAGCAGTGTGTCGAGTAATGTCTCAGAGTTCCCTTCCTGATAGGTTAACTGTGAGGCTTGCAGCGTGTCGAGTCACAGGCATAAACCACTGACTCTTAAGACACAAGGCAACAGCTTTAACTACTGTAGCCTTGTGATCACAGTATATCATGGTTAATGGTCTTTATATCATGGTTAATGGTCTTTATATCATGGTTAATGGTCTTTATATCATGGTTAATGGTCTTTATATCATGGTTAATGGTCTTTATATCATGGTTAATGGTCTTTATATCATGGTTAATGGTCTTTATATCATGGTTAATTTTTATATCATGGTTAATGGTCTTTATATCATGGTCTTTTGAAACTCACAGGGAGATCTTTTCTGGTCCATGTACTGTACTTTATATTACAAGGTGGTGTAATGTCTCTTATTCCTGTTGAGACTTGGTAAATTGTGCCTGAATTCAGTAAAGGTTTGTGTTGTTACATAATTTCACTGGGATATATAACATTTGTAGAGTTTGTTGTAGTAACTATAGGTAGATACAAAGTTTGTTACTGTTAGGAAAGTGAAGACAATTTGTTATGTTCTGTCATAAGAAGATCTGAAACAAAAGGAATTTGCAAAGATTGTTTAAGAGTTCCTCAACATTTTAGCTCATGAAAGTTCTGCGTTTACTTTTCTTCTGTACACCCTCAGGCCAGATTTCAAGCGGATCAAACTGGAATCTTCTTGAGCAAAGAAAAGTTTGTGACATCTTTCAACCAGTTGTTAAAAAGAGAGGGTCGAGAGAGTGAGAGTGTGGAGAGGGAAGTTGTGGAGAGGGAAGAGGTGAGTCACATGAGAGCTTCAGTTATTCCAGGGCTATAAATCAAGATGGTGGGCTTATACAAAACCCCTTCATGACACCTGTACCTCTTCTGGCCCTCTGGTGGCCTGCAAACATGTCATCTTTTTCACAATGACAGATATATTAACAAGTCACTTATGTTTTGTTGTTACAATAGTTGAAATTGATGAAAATGAAGCCCAGCTAGTTTGGAATCCTGATTGGTCAGTTACGACTAAGTATTTGATTGGTGGTTCCGTGACTGTATTTACAGTATGTTAGTTGTATTTTTAACTCCTTCAGAAATGTATGAATAATTAGACTATCTTTTACATGTGTATGTCTGACCTGCCAGATCCCACCTACAAGTGGTGCCAATAGTGTGGGAACAGAGAAGCCTCACACATCACCCATGACAACACCATCAAAGGTACGGATGGAGGGACTGAGCGACTCTCCGCTAGGCCATAAATCACTGGTCATCGGCCAGTGGCGCAGCGGGAGGAAACTCCATAGGCGAGGTTTTGGCAAGCGTCATGGCTGCCAAACAGAAGATGGTCTCGGCAAAAGTAGAAGATGACTTAAACTCTCACATGTCCCCTAAGAGAAATATGTAAGTTCATTTTAATTTTCTCACCAATTGAACTGCAGTGGTCCCTCGGTTAACGAACTCGGTCGTTCCAGAGGGTCGTTAATTAACTGGAAATTTTGTTAACTGAAACCATTGTTTCAATGGGATATTGGGTAATTGGTTCCAGCCCACAGAAAAGTACTGTATACACAAAGTAAAGCCAAAAACGTATAAAGTCAGAAACACTCCTAAATCACCCTTAAATCACTATACAGTGACCCTCTAGATTAACGAAACTCAATCCGTTCCAGAAGGTCGTTAGATTAACCAAAAAGTTAGATTAACCGAAACCATTGTTTCAATGGGTTTTGGTAGTGGTTCCAGCTCACCGAAAATTTCCTAAATTCAACAAAAATGGTAGAAAAGCTCATTTACTTTGAGGTGTGTGTAGAAGGCTCCTGGACAATGATGATGATGATGATGGGATTTAGAATGGGGGTGGAGAAGGAAAAAAGAGAAGGCATTGGGGTGGAAGAAATCACCCCATGGTGCCATTTCACCCATAAAATTTTGCTCTCTTGGTGTAATTCAAGATTATTTTCTTTAAATCAACACTGCACTGCATTATATATTGTCAATATGTAAAATATATTTCAAAATGACCAATAATTTGCTTGGAAACACAGAAAAAAAGTGCTTAGTTGAAGAGAGTCTCAAGCAAGATGTTCCTCAGTAAAGGAAGACTAACTCCTTTGCTGTTTAGAAGGCTGGATGCGGCATTAAACCTAGTCACTTTACCCTTATGTTCAATAATTGTTAGAATGACTAAAAAATTGAATATTAAACTTTAACATTATTGAATGGTATAAACTTCTTGATATTTACTAAAATAGTAAGAATTTAAGCCCTAGAACCGATTAATGTATTGGCGGACTGATACTAAAGCTGGTTGCGGTCAGTGACTGGAAAACATGTTGAGGTCGGTTCGTAAAACCGTTAACGAATTTTTTTCGTTAACCGAATTGAAGATCATATGAGCAGTTCGTTAATCAAATTCGTTAACCGGCGTTAGATTAACGAGGGTCATGTATACTATGTACCGGGTAGACAATACAGGTATAATATAGTTCACCTTGTATTATATATATGAACAATGCAAATTAAGTGTACAAACCATCCATGAAGGTACAGTACCTATACAGTTTTCAGTGCAGGTATATAGTAGTAAACAGGAAGACAATTGACTCAAGAATGGTATTTCTTTTATGGTGGTTTATATAAGGTTAAAGTTTTAGGTTGGGGTTAAAGTTTTAGGTTGGGGTTAAAGTTTTAGGTTGTGGTTAAAGTTTTGAGTTGTGGTTAAAGTTTTAGGTTGTGGTTAAAGAAGTTGTGAAGGGTTGATTGTGATTTCTTGAGGTTGTGGTTAAAGTTTTAGGTTGTGGTTAAAGTTTTAGTTTGTGGTTAAAGTTTTAGTTTGTGGTTTAAAGTTTTAGATTTGTAGTTAATTCTCTCTTCTCCAGGAAACATTGCACCACCAGCTAAAGTTTCCTCATAGTCACACTATCACAGCTGGGGATGGCCACTCACTCTTACCCACACTTGGTCTACACATTCATGCTCTATATTAGCTGGGGATGGCCACTTACTCCTGCCCTCACTACACATTCAAGCTCTATATTATATTAAAATGGACACAGTATTATGTAAATAGGTGTCTTACTAATATTTCTCTTTGTTAAGGTGTCATATTATGAGTTGGAGTGTTGGTAAGAGCCCATTATGTGAGATATTAATTAATGTGTTGGGTTGTGTGGCAGTCGTGACAGTTGTGATAAGATGGTTGCCAGGTGTTATGGACTATTTGATAGTGGTAGATATTATAGTTGTTAATGTTGTTTAATTGTATATTAATCAGTTAGTTGATGTTACGATTTTTGTGGTTACTTATATATTGATAAAAGAAATTTTGTAGATAAAAGTGTGTGTGTGTCTCAGGAAAGGTTTTGACAAGTGGGAATTTGCTGGTAGAGTGACGTGAGTACAGTATTGTGAAGAAGAACAGTTATACTTGTACCGACATCGTGAGGCAACTGTATAAAATTTCAGTAGTATATAAATTTATTAAGAGGAGAGCTCAGTTGGGCAAGGCGAACAACAAGTCCACAACATCGTTCAGGCATGCCATCCTCCAGAGAGTTGTGTCCCCGCCAAAGAAATCTGGTGAGTTTATACACTGTAATTTATTTATATAACAAATCATCATCATTAAAGTGTTATAACTTAAACCATTGTCATTAAAGTGTTATAACTAACCATCGTCATTATAGATTACTGAAGTCACCAAACTTGTTCTTCATTCTGTTAACCACCAGTGTGTTTCACGTGGTCATTATTGCTTCCCTGAGTGTGGGAATTATCAGAGATCAACACAGAAAAGTTGTTATCCTTTAAAATATCATAATATAAATACGATAGATTAAATATTTAAGAACTGTGGTTACTTCTCGTGTCCATTCACCAGCCAATCAGCTGTTGCACTACAAACTCAGCCTAGCCCTTAGTTGTAAGCTTCCACTGAACAGACTATGTCAGGGGTGGCCACACTTGCTTACCCTAAGAGCCACATACGGTGGTGAGCGTCTTTAATACATAATGAACTATGGGAACATCTCGGGGAAAAATATGGAAGGCTGCATAAAAATGGGATTGTTGAAGGACAAAAGATGAAAATATAAATATAAAAGAAAAAACAAGCAAACCGATTGGAAGATATGTTACTCATATACCGCCTTACAAAGTTTGTTTTTCCATAATTCTGATTTAGGTTGATTATCACACAAACGGTTTTTTCAGTGTATTTCAAGTTACTGTACTGGCTTTGTAGTGAGTGAGTAACACACTGCAGGTAAGGAACAAAGGTTTACCTCCTTTAGTGGTAAATGTAAAATCATCCTCTCACTCTGGCTTAAAATTCCTGTTTTCATCTTTACCGTTTTTATAATTGGATGACACCATCTCCCATAACAAAGTTTTCACACAGTATTTATAAACAATTTATTTTCTGAACTGTAAACACAACTTGTACCCAGAGTGCACCAGTACAGTTGTGTGTTAATGTACCCAGAGTGCACCAGTACAGTTGTGTTTAATCTTAAGTGCACAGTACTGTTGTGTGTTAATGTACCAAGTGCACCAGTACAGTTGTGTGTTAATGTGTCCAGAGTGCACCAGTACAGTTGTGTGTTAATGTACCCAGAGTGCACCAGTACAGTTGTGTGTTAATGTACCCAGAGTGCACCAGTACTGTTGTGTGTTAATGTACAAGTGCACCAGTACTGTTGTGTTAATGTAGAGTGCAGTACATTGTGTGTTAATGCAAGTGCACCAGTACAGTTGTGTGTGTACCCAGAGTGCACCAGTACAGTTGTGTGTTAATGTACCCAGAGTGCACCAGTACTGTTGTGTGTTAATGTACCCAGAGTGCACCAGTGCAGTTGTGTGTTAATGTACCCAGAGTTCACCAGTGCGTTGTGTGTTAATGTACCCAGAGTACCAGTACAGTTGTGTTAATGTAGAGTGCACCAGTACAGGTTAATGTACCCAGAGTGCACCAGAACAGTTGTGTGTTAATGTACAGAGTGCACCAGTACAGTTGTGTGTTAATGTACCCAGAGTGCAGTACAGTTGTGTGTTAATGTACCCAGAGTGCACCAGTACTAGTGTGTTAATGTGCAGAGTGCACCAGTACTGTGTGTTAATGTACCCAGAGTGCACCAGTACTGTTGTGTGTTAATGTACCCAGTGCACCAGTACTGTTGTGTGTTAATGTACCCAGAGTGCAGTGCAGTTGTGTGTTAATGTACAGAGTGCACCAGTACTGTTGTGTTAATGTACCCAGAGTGCACCAGTACAGTTGTGTGTTAATGTGCCCAGAGTGCACCAGTACAGTTGTGTGTTAATGTACCCAGAGTGCACCAGAATAGTTGTGTGTTAATGTGCAAGTGCACCAGAATAGTTGTGTGTTAATGTACCCAGAGTGCACCAGAATAGTTGTGTGTTAATGTACCCAGAGTGCACCAGTACAGTTGTGTGTTAATGTACCCAGAGTGCACCAGTACAGTTGTGTGTTAATGTACCCAGAGTGCACCAGTACAGTTGTGTGTTAATGTACCCAGAGTGCACCAGTACAGTTGTGTGTTAATGTACCCAGAGTGCACCAGTACAGTTCTGTGTTAATGTGCAAGTGCACCAGTACAGGGTTAATGTACCCAGAGTGCACCAGAACAGTTGTGTGTTAATGTACCCAGAGTGCACCAGTACAGTTGTGTGTTAATGTACCCAGAGTGCACCAGTACAGTTGTTGTTAATGTACCCAGAGTGCACCAGTACTGTTGTGTGTTAATGTACCCAGAGTGCACCAATTACAGTTGTGTGTTAATGTACCCAGAGTGCACCAGTACTGTTGTGTTAATGTACCCAAGTGCTGGTACAGTTGTGTGTTAATGTACCCAGAGTGCACCAGTACTGTTGTGTGTTAATGTACCCAGAGTGCACCATACTAGTTGTGTGTTAATGTACCCAGAGTGCACCAGTACAGTTGTGTGTTAATGTATCAGAGTGCACCAGTACAGGTATAAGGACAGAACAGTTGTGTGTTAATGTACCCAGAGTGCACCAGTACTGTTGTGTGTTAGAGTGCCGACAGTTGTGTTAATGTACCCAGAGTGCACCAGTACAGTTGTGTGTTAGTACCCAGAGTGCACAGTACAGGGTTAATACCCAGAGTGCACCAGTACAGTTGTGTGTTAATGTACCCAGAGTGCACCAGCATGTTGTGTGTTAATGTACCCAGAGTGCACCAGAACAGTTGTGTGTTATCAGGTGCCAGTACAGGGTGTACCAAGTGCACCAGTACAGTTGTGTGTTAATGTACCCAGAGTGCACCAGTACTGTTGTGTGTTAATGTACCAGAGTGCACCAGTACAGTTGTGTGTTAATGTACCCAGAGTGCACCAGTACTGTTGTGTGTTAATGTACCCAGAGTGCACCAGTGCAGTTGTGTGTTAATGTACCCAGAGTGCACCAGTACAGTTGTGTGTTAATGTACCCAGAGTGCACCAGTACAGTTGTGTGTGTTAATGTACCCAGAGTGCACCAGTACAGTTGTGTGTTAATGTACCCAGAGTGACCAGAACAGTTGTGTGTTAATGTACCCAGAGTGCACCAGTACTGTTGTGTTAATGTACCCAGAGTGCACCAGTACAGTTGTGTGTTAATGTACCCAGAGTGCACCAGTACAGTTGTGTGTTAATGTACCCAGAGTGCACCAGTATGTTGTGTGTTAATGTACCAGAGGCCAGATAGTTGTGTGTTATAATGTACTGTTGTGTGTTAATGTACCCAGAGTGCACCAGTACTGTTGTGTGTTAATGTACCCAGAGTGCACCAGTAGTACAGTTGTGTGTTAATGTACCCAGAGTGCACCAGTACTGTTGTGTGTTGTACCAGAGTGCACAGTAATGTTGTGTGTTAATGTACCCAGAGTGCACCAGAACAGTTGTGTGTTAATGTACCCAGAGTGCACCAGTACTGTTGTGTGTTAATGTACCCAGAGTGCACCAGTACTGTTGTGTGTTAATGTCCAGAGTGCACAGATGTTGTGTGTGTACCCAGAGTGCACCAGTACAGTTGTGTGTTAATGTACCCAGAGTGCACCAGTGTTGTGTGTTAATGTACCAGAGTGCACCAGAACAGTTGTGTGTTAATGTACCAGAGTGCACCAGTACTGTTGTGTGTTAATGTACCCAGAGTGCACCAGAATAGTTGTGTGTTAATGTACCAGAGTGCAATCATACTGTTGTGTGTTAATGTACCCAGAGTGCACCAGTACTGTTGTGTGTTAATGTACCCAGAGTGCACCAGTACAGTTGTGTGTTTGTACCCAGAGTGCACCAGTACTGTTGGTTAATGTAGAGTGCACCAGAATAGTTGGTGTTATTCCAGAGGCACCAGAACAGTTGTGTGTTAATCCAGAGCACCAGTACTGTTGTGTGTTAATGTACCCAGAGGCACCAGAATAGTTGTGTTAATGTACCAGAGTGCACCAGAACATGTGTTAATGTACCCAGAGGAAGTATTGTTGTGTGTTATGTACCAGAGTGACCAGAACAGTTGTGTTAACACAGAGCCAGTACTGTTGGTGTTAATGTACCCAGAGTGCACCAGTACTTGTGTGTTAATGCCCAGAGTGCACCAGTAGTTGTGTGTTATGTACTAGAGTGCACCAGCATGTTGTGTGTTAATGTACCCAGAGTGCACCAGTACTGTTGTGTTATGTACCCAGAGTGCACCAGTACTGTTGTGTGTTAATGTACCCAGAGTGCCCAGTACTGTTGTGTGTTAATGTGCCCAAGTGCCCAGTACAGTTGTGTTAATGTGCAGGTCCTTGTGTTAATGTCAGAGTGCACCGAATAGTTGTGTGTTAATGTTACCCAGAGTGCACCAGTACAGTTGTGTGTTAATGTCCAGAGTGCCAATTACAGGTTAATATTGCCAGAGTGCGTACAGTTGTGTGTGTTAATGTGCCAGAGTGCACCAGTACTGTTAATGTGCAGAGTGCACCAGTACAGTTGTGTGTAATGTAGGTACCAGAACAGTTGTGTGTTAATGTACCAGAGTGCACCAGACAGTTGTGTGTTAATGTACCCAGGTGCACCAGAATAGTTGTTGTGTTAATGCCCAAGTGCACCAGAACAGTTTGTTATTATGTGCAGTGCACCAGTACTGTGTGTGTTAATGTGCCCAGAGTGCACCAGAACAGTTGTGTGTTAATGTACCCAGAGTGCAGAATAGTTGTGTGTTAATGTACCCAGAGTGCACCAGAACAGTTGTGTGTTAATGTCCCGAGTGCACCAGTACAGTTGTGTTAATGTTTTAGGTGCACCAGAATAGTTGAGTGAGATGTGCACCAGAACAGTTGTGTGTTAATGTACCCAGAGTGCACGTACTGTTGTGTGTTAATGTAAATTACCAGTACAGTTGTGTGTTAATGTACAGAGTGCACCAGAATAGTTGTGTGTTAATGTACCCAGAGTGCACCAGTACTGTTGTGTGTTAATGTACCAGAGTGCACCAGTACTGTTGTGTGTTAATGTACCCAGAGTGCACCAGAATAGTTGTGTGTTAATGTACCCAGAGTGCACCAGTACTGTTGTGTGTTAATGTACCCAGAGGACCAATGCAGTTGTGTGTTAATGTACCCAGAGTGCACAGAATAGTTGTGTGTTAATGTGGAGTGCAGTACTGTTGTGTTAATGTCCAAGTGCACCAGAACAGTTGTGTGTTAATGTACCCAGAGTGCAAGTACAGTTGTGTGTGCAGGTGCCAGTACAGTTGTGTGTTTGTGCCAGGTGCACCAGGCTGTTGTGTGTTAATGTACAGAGTGCACCAGTACTGTTGTGTGTTAATGTGCAGAGTGCACCAGAATAGTTGTGTGTTAATGTCCAGTACTGTGTGTGTTAATGTACCCAGAGTGCACCAGTACTGTTGTGTGTTTGTACCCAGAGTGCACCAGTACTGTTGTGTGTTAATGTGCCAGAGTGCACCAGTACTGTTGTGTGTTAATGTACCCAGAGTGCACCAGTACAGTTGTGTGTTAATGTACCCAGTGCACCAGAATAGTTGTGTGTTAATGTACAGTGCAAGAATAGTTGTGTGTTAATGCCCAAGTGCACCAGTACAGTTGTTGTTGTGTGTTAATGTACCCAGATTACCAGTACAGTTGTGTGTTAATGTACCCAAGTGCACCAGTACTGTTGTGTTAATGTACCCAGATGCAGTCGTGTGTTATTGCAGTGCACCAGTACAGTTGTGTGTTAATGTACCCAAGTGCGAAGTGCACCAGTACGTTGTGTGTTAATGTACCCGATGCACCAGTACAGTTGTGTTAATGTACCCAGAGTGCACAGTACTGTTGTGTGTTAATGTACCCAGAGTGCACCAGTACTGTTTGTTGCCCAGGTACCAGTACTGTTGTGTGTTAATGTACCCAGAGTGCACCAGTACAGTTCTGTGTTACACTGTGTTAATATGTTGGGTTATTATGTTAGGCTGGGCCACTGCTCTCCTCATCATTCCTGACCTGATTCAGCACTGATGAACAACACCCATTAATTGTAGCATTAGAATTAAGATTTAGATTCTTAAATATTTATTCTCACCTTGAATATTTTACTTTGGTTATAATCCAGTAGTCTCTCAGTGTACGAACATAACGCTCCATTATTTTCCTTATTTACTGGTGCCTTTTATATTGCTTATGGCAAAGGAGCTCAGCCAATATATTTTTGTGAGCCGCACATTAAGTGTCAAAGAGCCACAGTTTGGCCACCCAAGACTATACTGTATCTTATTTTATTCTGTACAATATTCTAAGTTGACAAATGGTTAAATTATGTTCTGGTGATAATGATGATAATGATGATGATGATGATGATGATGATGATGATGATGATGATGATGATGATGCTAACAGTAACTATACCACAGGAAATTGCTTTATCTATCCTTCTTTACTAAACCTTCTTACTCAATGTTCTTTCTTGTACTGAGGTGTGTTGTGACGGTTATAAATAGAGAGCCTCTACCTCACATGAAGACCGACCATGTTGCCTTAACCCTGACCCTGTGTCTGCCTTCATTTCCTGCCTGTTTGTTGTTATACTGAGCTCTCTCTCTCTCTCTCTCTCTCTCTCTCTCTCTCTCTCTCTCTCTCTCTCTCAAGGGTAGTATTATTATTTTGCTTTATCTTTTCTTTGTCTCAGATTCTCTCGGCCAGTTGGGGAGTCGTAGCGTCTTGGGTCAGGGAGAGAGTAATCCCCCCACCAAGAGGTCAGCGCCAGTTGAAGATCATCTGGAAAAAGGCCGTCTTCCAGCAGATGCTCCTCATACGCTTTGAGAAGGAGAATCAGCGTTTGAGAGGCAAGTCAACGAACCACATTTTATGATCTAGTTATTATTATTAATTTTTGTATGATTGATTTAATATTTGTGTTGAAATAAGGTATACTGTACTACTATCTTGGTGCTGGGGTTCTGTGGCCTGCTACCACCACTCCTCACCTGCCCTTATACCAGTGTGGGTCAGTCCTCCCTCTAACACACCCTCACCTGCCCTTACACCAGTACCTTTCCTTGGTTTCCCTTGCTATATTATTAACTCTGTTTCTCCACCTCCTATTCACTCCTCACCATTCTGGCTCACACTTCCACTCATGGCTCCTCACCACTCATGGTCACACTCACCACCATGGCTCCTCACCATTCATGGGCCACCTCACCATTCATGGCTCACACTCACTCATGGGTCCTCACCACTCTGGCTCACCTCACCATTCATGGCTCCTACACTCATGGGTCACACTCACCATTCATGGCTCACACTCACCACTCATGGGTCACACTCACCACTCATGGCTCACACTCATCATTCATGGGCCACACTCACCATTCATGGCTCACACTCACCACTCATGGCTCACACGCTCACCACCTCACAACCTTGGTGATACTGTGCAACCATTTATGCAGTGTATCACCTTCAGTATAATATGATATATAAAAAAATATTAATTATTAAAATATTATTGTTTGATATAAATTTGTGAAATAAGATAAAAAAATTATGTGCACTATGAATTTTGGGGACATATTATTTGCCATGGTAGTATAGTAAAGTTTCCATTATACGGAGATTTAGTTTACAACCAATTACGGTAATCATTCAAGGACGGAACCCTAACGTGGTTGAAGGTGATCCTGTATTATAGTGGAAGATAAACCTCTTGCTTAAGGCTATAGTTACTGTAGACTGCTTCCACTCCCCTTCTATAATTGCTCCTCCACTACAGTACTCCTATAACTGCTCCTCCACTACAGTACACCTATAACTGCTCCTCCACTACAGTACACCTATAACTGCTCCTCCACTACAGTACACCTATAACTGCTCCTCCACTACAGTACACCTATAACTGCTCCTCCACTACAGTACACCTATAACTGCTTCTCCACTACAGTACACCTATAACTGCTCCTCCACTACAGTACACCTATAACTGCTCCTCCACTACAGAACACCTATAACTGCTCCTCCACTCACAGCACACCCATAACTGCTCCTCCACTACAGTGGCCAACTCTATAACTGCTCCTCCACTACAGTACTCCTATAACTGCTCCTCCACTACAGTACTCCTATAACTGCTCCTCCACTACAGTACACCTATAACTGCTCCTCCACTACAGTACACCTATAACTGCTCCTCCACTACAGTACACCTATAACTGCTCCTCCACTACAGTACACCTATAACTGCTTCTCCACTACAGTACACCTATAACTGCTCCTCCACTACAGTACACCTATAACTGCTCCTCCACTACAGAACACCTATAACTGCTCCTCCACTAACTTCCATACCTCTACAGCTATACAACATGAAGTGGCACTCCAGCGCGTTCGTCTCAATTATGAAGAAGAGGAGATTCCATATGAGGCAATACAAGCTTGGCAGCTTCTTCTGTCCAGACCCACAGCCAGGATAGATTCCAACATCCTTCATAGTGGAATTAAACAAGGTAGGTGTGTGTGTGTGTGTCAGCAGTGTGATGTGTGTGTATATGTGTCAGCAGTGTGAAGTGTGTGTGTGTGTGTCAGCAGTGTGAAGTGTGTGTATATGTGTCAGCAGTGTGAAGTGTGTGTATATGTGTCAGCAGTGTGAAGTGTGTGTATATGTGTCAGCAGTGTGAAGTGTGTGTATATGTGTCAGCAGTGTGAAGTGTGTGTATATGTGTCAGCAGTGTGAAGTGTGTGTGTGTGTGTGTCAGCAGTGTGAAGTGTGTGTATATGTGTCAGCAGTTTGAAGTGTGTGTATATGTGTCAGCAGTGTGAAGTGTGTGTATGTGTGTCAGCATTGTGAAGTGTGTATCATGTAATATACCAGGTGTGTGAAATGTACTCCTGCACTTGTCTGTATTCCAGGTGTGCCCAAGTCAGTACGTGGGGAGGCCTGGCAGCTACTAGTGAAGCAGTACCTGGCACGGAATCCCAAACTGGAGCCACAAATTCTCAGTTACAACGTTGCTTATGAGAGCATGATCAAAGAACTCACCTCACAGCATCATGCCATACTTATTGACCTAGGTATGTGGGTTCATTCTTTGTCTCAGTACCATGTGGGTTCATTCTTTATGTCTCAGTACCATGTGGGTTCATTCTTTATGTCTCAGTACCATGTGGGTTCATTCTTTATGTCTCAGTACCATGTGGGTTCATTCTTTAGTACCATGTGGGTTCATTCAGTACCATGTGGGTTCATTCTTTATGTCTCAGTCCCATGTAGTTTGCAGTCATATTTCCCGCCTCTGCTGACGACCGTGTAATATTTCAATGTGATACTAAACTTTTAAAATGTTGTTTTTTCATTATGTACTATTACTGATATGTAATTTGTCTTAGTATGCCTTATTGTGGGTAAAAATAAGTATGCAGTTGTCCCTCGGTTAACGAATGGTACAATTAACTAAATTTTGGTTAACGAATTAGCTCCCATAAGGATTTTCAGTTCGATTAACGAAATCCTTACGACAAGCAAGTTTTGTTGTGCACATTAGCTGATCGGCTAGTCCGCCAATACAAATTGGTTCTATGTTTAAATTTGTTTCCAGTGGAGTAAATATCAAGAAAGTTGTGCTCCTGAATATTTTTGCATTTTTTATATTAAAATTATTGGTCATTCTAATTTAGTTAACATATTGATAATATATACAGTACAGGGCACATTTATTGTGTGCCCTTCAGCTGATTGAATCACCCACCAACGCTTCTCAGTTTAACTTTGTTTACAGTGGATTGAACATCCAGTTTGTTGGTCTCTTGAATATTTTTGCATTTTTACATTAAAATTATTGGTCATTCTGAAATTTAGGTAACATATTGATAATATACAGTGCAGAAATTATTATGAAACATGAACAAAGCATTAGAACCAATGCACTCTGTAAAGAATATGGCATGTCATCATCAACATGCCGGGAATACAACATACACACCTCAAAGTAAGTTAAAATATAGTATTCTCCCATTTTTTATTTTTTATTGTACAATATACTGTACAGTACGGTACTGTATTTAGTTTATATTTAATGTTTTGTTAATTCTATTACCGGTATACAGTACTTTGTATGTATACTTTTTCTGTGAGTTGGAACCAATTACCCAATATCCCATTGAAACAATAGATTCAGTTAACGAACTTTTCTGTTAACGAACGACTCTGTGGAACCAACTGTGTTCGTTAATTGAGGGACCATTGCATATTAAATGTATCCTCCAAAGTGTGAATTTACTACAAGAGTTTAACAGTTAATTCATGTATAATACTTCTGATAAACTTCCTGTGTACTTATGTTTGAACTAATGAATATATGTATCTTTATATAATTTAGCTAAATATCTTTCTCGTCAGAAACGGTCATCCCAACGATTGTGAATAAACTCATTTAGAAATACATCATTACTTCAGGACAAAATCAGACAGGTTTACAACAGCCAATCAGCTGTAACTCTTGAGGAGGGGGCAGGACAGCTTTTCTCAGCTGGGAAAAAAAGCATTAAAGTGATTTCATTGATCACTTATCATAATAAGTAGACTGAATCTCACATAACATTACAGGCACACAGAGTGAAGTGCTCTGGTTGTCTTATAATATAACCTCACACAAGCTTTTGGCACAACAAGGCCTTCATTAATCTTTTTTATTTCCTCTAAGGTCGCACGTTCCCAACACACCCTTACTTCATGCAGACGCTCGGCCCGGGTCAACTTGCCCTGTTCAATGTGTTAAAAGCTTACTCACTGTTGGATAAGGATGTTGGATACTGTCAAGGCCTCAGTTTTGTTGGGGGTGTACTGCTTCTTCATGTAAGTTGGTGTTGTGGAGTGAAATGTTTGCTTCTCTTGAGCAGTTTGTCTTAGATCATTAATTCTCAATTGATGTAGATCTATGTCAGTAAGTATCGGTGTGTGCACTTAATACATCATTTACAGTCAGGTAAAAAAATAAATGAAATAGGATCATAAATATTCCCACAAGAGACAGATGGCTATGTCCATCCTGTCTGAGTGGTCATGTGACAGCACCTTCCCCTACTCCCAGTTACTCACATTGCAGGTACAGTCACCCACACACCCACCCTGTTGTCCCTCCTCCTGAACCATGAACCCAGATATTCAGAATCATGAACCCGAAGCATTTATGGACAGAATAATGTATCAGTGTCTACTGCTTCAGGTTTACGAATCTTACGTACAGAATGTGCAAACAAAATAAAATATATAATTATCATAAGGTCAAAAACAAAAGGAATTAACATTTCTTTGTGCACGAGAGTTAACACGCTGAACCTGGGTGGAGGGTCAGCGGAGTGTGGGATCTCTGCTGTTCTCAGCTGTCTCCCGTGTGTAGTGAAATGATTGACAAATACTTCAACCTCCAGCAGCCAAATGACAATGCAGTATTTCTTTTCCTTTAAGTTATTGATTGGTATTACAGTATTTTTATTTATTACTCATATTTACTGGTATTTATTATTTTACCTTATTCTTCACAGTTGAACGTTTTTATAAGGTGAATCATCACAACACAGGATGTACCGGTAATAAGAGTATACAGTATTTTAATTTGAGTGCCTTTATTAAAGTTTATTGATAGAGTAATAATATCCTTAGAAATTCACATTAATTGAAGTTTTGTAAAGGCGTATCCCACCATTACTATACTGTACACCTCCCACAGCACTGAATACTGATGCTAGGGCAGACAGTGTCCCAGCTGGGGGCTTTGTTGCTGTAGTGAGCATCGAGGCCAGGCAGCTAGCATCCCTGAGATTGGAACACATTGTGTGCAACTTGTAGGGTCAAGTTGTACACGAGGTTTATAAAAAACTCATTATTTTTAGCATAAAAGGCAGGATTCACACTGTACATGAGAAGTTTGCACACAAGGATATAGGTACAGGTGTGGCAGAGAGCAAGGTGTGTGATGCTGCCACCACCTTCCCTCTCCTGTGTGTGATGCTGCCACCACCTACACACCTCACATTATAACTATTATTTTAACTCACTATAACGGGGCCGCCCCTGAGCTGAGTGAAATCGTCTGGTATTAGCCAAATAAAATATTAAAAGTGTTGTCCCAGTAATGAAGGGGTTAATTGCTATATACCATCGTAGTCTGAAGTAATTATCACAAGTTATCATGTGAAAGTATATTAAATTAATATTGGAACATATGTGAATCTGGAGAGTGAAGTGGTTAATATTTTATAGTGGCATTAAAGCGTCAAGTGTGCCAGGATAAAGTCAGTGTGTGGTGTTACATCAGTCCTTGTGGGGACCCTGTTATGTGAAGGCTTGTGTCTGTGTTATGTACAGTACCGGTAAACCTTGATAAACGATGGGGTCAGGTTCCTGAATAACCCATCACTGAGTAAAATATTAAAGATAGGAAGCTTTATAACATGGGGTTGAATGGGATACATTCCCAGCCAGTCCTCAAACACACTTGTATCACCGACAACAAAATTCCTTCCCACACTTATAAAATTAATATAAAACAATTCAACAACACTCATCATGGAGATTAAGTCTGGTCATCATCACATGTCCCCTTCGAGGCTAAGGGGAGTCTTGTAGGTGGAGTGGAGACATTACTCTGAGTCCCACACAGCCTCTGGGGAGTCTCATGCTGCTTCACAATGTTGAGCTTCACCTCAGAGACACAGTTGTCTTGGCCTTCCCAGACAGTTTTAAAGTTACACTGCTCACTTCACAGTCACAAAAAACACTTGCCACAAAACTGAGCGAACGATGATAACAAAAACAATAATGCGGCCGACGCTGCTCACACCACGACAACAGAGGTGAAGCACTTCACAGTCATAAAAAACACAGAAGATATCCCTCCACAGTCACCATAACAGTTAAATCTAAATGTTAGTGCTGTCCTCTCACTATAGGAAAAACCCACCAATGATAAGTACACTGTACAGACAGCCAACGATGCTGAATGATAATAGTGGAGCTACACGATGGTGGAGAGATGCACGGGCTGGTTGTGTGGCGTCACCAGAGATGCTTCGTGTATGGGGTTGAATATTGTTTCCTTATAAAATGTCACTGACTTGACGTAGAAAAACATAATTTGCACTGCTGGAGTCCTTGCAAGACAGTGATTAATTTTAGTAAATACAACCTATAGTTTGCACTAGACCCCAAACCACTGGATATCGTTAAAGCGAGAAGGTCGTAATTCAATACCATCTTTAAAGTGGAACATCGCTGAACGACCCCTCATTTATCGAGGTTTACCTGTGTTGTGTTCTTCATTATCTATATATTTTTATTGCTATATTTTTTTTTAAGGTGGAAGAGGAAGCGGCATATAACCTACTGAAACACTTGATGTACGTCATGGGCTGCAGGCGACAGTACCGGCCTGACCTTATTGGTCTTCAGGTTAGACCAATCATAAACACCTTAGTTATAACATAACTCATGTGTCTTCCACTATGGTGCTTCCTTCCTACAGCTGTCTAACCTAACCTAACTTAACCTAACCTAACTTAACCTAACCTAACTTAACCTAACTTAACCTAACCAAAACTAACCTACAGCTGTCTAACCTAACCTAACCTAACCACTTGACACTATGATTATCTATTGAGGATTAAGTGCCTCAGGCTAATGTCATTTTGGAATTTTTTGAGCCAACAGAAAATAAACATCAACAATATGAGAACATGACCGCTTCTTGGCATTTCCTCCAGGTTCAGATGTATCAACTCTCCCGGCTGCTCCACGACCAACTGCGTCAATTGTACGATCATTTTGAGGTTCACGAGGTCACGCCGCAGCTGTTTGCCGCCCCGTGGTTCCTCACACTCTTTGCTTCACAGTTCCCTCTCAGTTTTGTCTCTCGAGTATTTGGTAAGTTAACTACCAATTTGATAAATATTTTCTCATACGTTATTGTTTCATACATTTATTTCAGTTGTTTTCTTTCTCTGGTTTATTCAAAGTTGACGGAAAGTAAATATAACCTCTTACTAATTATTTTTTAATTTATTACTGAAAATAGTCGTAATTATATTCCATTTTATATAATAAAATCCCCGAAGAAATGAGGATGATTGAATACTGGGGTGTTGGCTGTTCACTATCACAACACACTAGTTCACCATCACAACACACTAGTTCACCATCACAACACACTAGTTCACCATCACAACACACTAGTTCACCATCACAACACACTAGTTCACCTTCCCCCACAACACACTTGACTGGCATAGATCAAGGTAAGTGACTCGTGTGTGTGTGTGTGTGGGCCAAGTACAACAGGGCAGACCCTCCAAAAGGTACCATTACCGATGGGTCAAATGAACACTGTGACTCCTGTTGTCTTGCTGGGGCTATCAAAATCCTTACCCGTTGTGTCATATTATCTCGCACGAAATGGTCAAGATAGGAGAGAGTGTTCACACATCCTCATAAATGGACTGCCGAATACTGGATCATATTCTTCCTTGGGTTACGTTAACCTTTCTTCCTGAGCTAAGTAAAGTTTTGTTTCCACACACTCACACAAGCTCAGTTGAAGGTGTGTTTTAGCTTTTGTGTATCAAAATAAAGAAATTATCATTTTGTATATGCTTTTACGAATTAAATATACTGTAATTAGAGTCCCTTTACAAACAAGTTAAACGACTTTGTTGAAGTCCCAGTAACTATTGCTGAGTCATGACCTCTGCCACAAGTAGAGAACTCATGAATAATTATAGTCTGATACAATAAATAGTTCAAGATCATTATTAGTCTTCAATTATATTTATTTATATTTGTAAAATAGTTTTATTGTTTTCACATATCATGCAAAATTATTATTGATCAAATAAATCCAAACATGACGGGTAACTTAATCTGCCTGTTCTCACATGGCCCAGGTTTTATATAGTTTGGTTAGATTTGGTTAGGGTGTATACAGATTAGGTGCACCATTGGAAATTTGAGGCAGTCTTCCCTCATGGTGGACTTATTCCTTAATTAGACCCATAACTTCTCGTATATTGAAAGATGTACCGAGGTTGTGTGTGTGTTGATATAAGCAAACCCTTCACTACTAATGTGTTCATAGGTGACTGTTTTACCTGGCTGAGCAAGAGAGAGAGATGAAGTAAAAATGGATTACTATTTATTTATATTGTATAGTTATTGTATTAATTTCTTTTCCACCTTTATGGGAGGTGAATCAAGTAGTAGAGATAGGACAACAGGTGATGTGATAGGGAAGACGGCAGGTTGTGGGAGTTAGTAGCTTTCATAACTTCTCTGTGGCATAAAATGGATCCTCAGTTCCATTTTGACTTGTGGTGCTTCCTGTCATGTCACTGTTTAACCATCAGATAAATATTACTTGTTGAGTGAGTTAAAGAATCTCATGTATTATCTTATGAGTCATCAAATGTTCGTGTATCACAAGTTTTTGTTGTTCTTTCATGCTGACGATACAGCCGCCTGGTGTTGGACGGTGAGTAAACATGTTATTATAGTACTGTACTGGGTGTTTGTTATTCACGTCCCTGACCAGACCAGGCCAGGCCAGGCAGAGAGAGAGAGAGAGAGAGAGAGAGAGAGAGAGAGAGAGAGTTTTTTTTCTGAGTGATAGCAAAATAGTAGGCAGTAGTGCGTGCCTTCTTGCGTAAAATCATAATTCATAAGTCTAATCATATGTTTGTAAAAATAATGTCAGCCAGCGCTTGGCAGAGGAGTTTAACTTAACCTGTAGTGATTGGTGGAATATGTGAGCACTCCGTCGCTCTTGTCGGGTTAGAATGTTAATTAAATATAAAGACTGTTAGTTGGTCCCACTCCAAGACTTAGCAACTTTCATTAGGTATTTAACACCAAAACTTATTCAATATAAGAGTAATTTTAGCAGGTAAAAGATGACAATTTACTGTTGTATGGAACAGTGTAAGCACTAGTGACAGTGTGTGAGATGATCCCTGAACACTGTAACACTGTATTGTACCCTATGACCCTGAAGAAGGTATTGTAACCTATGACCCTGAAGAAGGTACTGTACCCTATGACCCTGAAGAAGGTACTGTAACCTATGATCCTGTAGAAGGTACTGTACCCTATGACCCTGAAGAAGGTACTGTACAGTGGTGGAGAATTACAGGGTTTACAAAGTGTTACACCTTAAGGTTATATCAACTGTCATTTTTTGTTATATTTTATTGTACATTATTCCTTAAGTGTTTGACTTTGTAGTGTTTCAGGTGCTAGTGAGGAGCAAGACACCAGTTATTATTATTATCATTATTCCCAGATCTGCTGTTCATGGAAGGTATGGAAGCAGTGTTCCGAGTGGCTCTGGTTCTCCTGAGGACACATGAAGAAGCCTTACTGGCCTGTGATTCATTTGAACAGATCATGGACTACATGAAGACGTCTATGCCCAACCTTCACATACACCAGATGGGGAACATCATATCTCAGGTGATCCAAGTTTTAAACACCTCTTCCCTTAAGTGAGAAACGGTGTCAAATTTTATCACGAAACATTATGTGAATTGTCGCTAAATAAAGGATTCCTGTATAGGGTTACTATAAATTATTGTCTGACCCATTTTACAAGTTGATATCCTCGAGAACACAGTAGATTGAACAGACAATGCATCAGAAGGTCAGTAATATGAGACCAATAATCCTCCACAGTGGGTGACCTGACATGGTATGAGGTCAGGTCAATAATGTGAGAGAATGAAGAAATAATTGACTTTTTTCCCATAGACATAATGATTCTGTCTTGTCTCTTATGTTCTATTTATACTTTAATTGTTCTATTTCTTTCTCTCTTTATTTTATTTTTATTACTTTACATCATTTATTTTACTTTATCTCTTATTCTTGGTTTTATTTACTTAAACAATTACATAGAGATGGAAGGTGGAGGAGAGTGTGCTAGGGAGGGAGGAGGTGTGTTAGGGAGGGAGGAGGTGTGTTAGGGAGGGAGGAGGTGTGTTAGGGAGGGAGGAGAGTGTGTTAGGGAGGGAGGAGGTGTGTTAGGGAGGGAGGAGGTGTGTTAGGGAGGGAGGAGAGTGTGTTAGGGAGGGAGGAGGTGAGGTTTGCTGCATTATTTAGACAATGTAAATTTTTCACCATTACAGAGTAGAATATTCCACTATTGTGTCTCGTCCTGCCCACCAGTATCACCTGGGTTTTTGTTTTTTTTAAGTACAGCTCCTCACCGACTCACGACCTACTCGACTTACGACCACCTGCACTTACAACCTGCCTCAGTTGTACCCAAATTTTGTCAAATTACGTATTTTCGAGTCCCAACGTCAGTACACAGAAAAAATTTTCGTTTGTAATTCACTTTAAAATGGCTGGCAAGCTTAAAAGTGAGAGTTTTGTGGTGCTGAGAAGAAAAAGAGACACCCATTTTAGATTTTCTATGTATTGTTTAAGCATTTTCGACTTACGACCTGGATTTGGGTCCCTAACCCCATCGTAAGTCGGGGAGGAGCTGTATATTTATTTAACCAAACTTTTTGATAAACTATCTATGATTATTTTGATAAAAATGGTACAGTATTTTTATCTTAGAACTTATTTTATTTAATCTGGTATCAACATTTCAGGGTCATTATGGTACCACATTCATCTCTCTAACACAATTAGAACAGATGCTGTGAATAAAAGTTTATACACTTTTGCTAGTTGTAAATATTTTCACTCATGCCCACACTCTTATTGTACAGTACTCCCAGATAATTCGTGCATTTTTAATTTGTGGTCCTCTATTGCTTATGGATGGCACCCTGGATGTAGCCAAGAATGTCTAAGAGTAGTTTTAAAGTTGCCGGCATTTTTTGCGGCTGGGACAGGGAGCCATTCATTCTAGAGACAGTAATTTCCTTTACCTGTATTGTATATATATATGTGTGTATGTGTGTGTGTGTGTGTGTGTGTGTGTGTGTGTGTGTGTGTGTGTAGACACTCACACACAAAATACAAATACAGTAAATAATAATGGGAAAATCCTCTCACAAATAATCAGAAACAAATGTAGTATTAAAAATGTTGAGTCTACCCTCGAGTCTACTCCGTGGTTTATTAATAACAAAGCTCGGAGTAGACTCGAGGGTAGACTCAACATTTTTAATACTACATTTGTTTCTGATTATTTGTGAGAGGATTTTCCCATTATTATTTATTTATACAGTACAGTAGGGTCGGGATATATCGCCAGATACGGTCCAAGGATGTTCGCTATATTCTAAGTCGTGATATATAATTACATGTAATCAATGGGGAAATAGGGTTAGGTTCTGGAGGCCAATAAAAGTGACTAAACTTGACATAAAATGGCACAGTCTAAAGTTAGCAGAAAATAAATTGCATTGCAGGACAGCAAATAATTTGAATATAGACATCCTATATTTTGCACAAGAGAAAAAAAATTTCAACTCCTATTTTGTGGGCTAGTGTATTTAGGGTATTTTTAGGAGTGTTTCTGACTTTATATGGTTTTTGGCTTTATGTGAGGTCCCAGGAACATGACCCCATGTAAGTTGTGAGTCTACTGTAAATAAATTTATCGCTATATGCAGTATTGGAAAATTTCGATAATTTTGGGAGCCACGATATAAAAAAATCGCTACATATAGTCGCTATACAGTATATCCCAACCCTACTGTATGTGTTTTGCATGTGTCTACACACACACACACACACACACACACACACACACACACACACACACTATATACAATACAGGGAAAGGAAAAAATTGCCCCTAAGGGCAAACACATAAAGGGAATATACATTTTTTCGTAAAATGTGACCCCCAGCAAATGTTATTTGCATTTGGCGATTCGTGGTATTTGCGGATTTGGCGATTCGTGGCCATTTTGAAAACCTGTCCCCCGTGAATTTTAAGGACCTGCTGTACAAGTACTGTGTACCCTGGACCTGACCCTGAATACTGTCATCAAGGAGATCATCCCTTATCCTCACCATACCTCAACTCACAAGTCTGATTCCTTTGGTCTATGTCTTTCACCTTTGTTCTGTTAGTTGACACAAGAGGCTACTGTACTGTACTGTACTAGTGTACCAGCTCCAAGATTTTGTCTTTTATTTCTCCCATGTGGGTTCTTACGTCATATACCAGTGTGACCATTACACTTTTGGAACATCATCTATGTATTATCAGCTCATCTCCCAGTGTAAGTGTTACATTTATTTACTACTGTATTATTTACTTTATTATTACTTATACAGTACAGTATTTTCTTTATTTCTCAGGATATTGTTTCCCTTTTTCCCTTCGTTTATTGATCACTTCACTTAGTGGCTGGTTTATCAGGAACACATCCAGATCACTGAACAAGGGATACCTGTACCGCATTCCTCTATAGTTTTGTCTTAAGAAATGACAATTAAGAATCCAGCTTTACTCATTCTTGATTTAATTTTGGGAATGGTTTAAGTTTGAATGTTATTTATTAACTCTTATGTAAGGCATCATAAAGCATTTAATAAGGGGCAGGGTTTATTGAGGTTCAAAATAAGTCCTCCATGATAACTGTAAAATAACTGTTCTTATTGGAAATGTATTGGAATAAAGTGAACAGAATAATGATTCTTTTTCACCATTTGTTCTCTTACAGGTTTGTGAGTTTATGATGAGTAAGGAGTTAGAAACCTGTGTGTTCTCAGATCAATGTGTTCTCAAACCTGTGTGTTCTTTGGTGTGTGTGTTGGTTAACTTAGGTGTTTTCTTACAGGCTTGTGAGTGTTCATTGAGTCAGGAGTTACAGGCGTACGAGGTAGAATACCACGTGTTGCAGGAGGAAATGGCTCTCTCCCCCCAGAACCACACAGACTTCCAGAAACTAAAGGAGGCCAACAAGAATCTGAAAAGGCAGAATTTAGACCTCCTGGAGCAGCTTCGTCATGCTAACTCACACCAACATGCTCTTGAAACCTCCAATCAGGTATAAGTCATTTTTACACTCAGGTTTTTCAATCACATTCCCCCACATACACACACAGGGATGGATTATGTAAGTAAAACAGGGAAAAGAATTAGAAATATATCTCTAATGAATTGGTATGGTTTTTGCTGCTTCTCACGAGTGTTTTAGTGGGGCGGGAGACTACAAGGAAGAAGACTTGGCCAAGCGTGGGATACTGACATGGAGTGTGTCCAACTCAACACACACCATAATATATGACTCCCTACCAACTTGCCTGACACAAAGTCTTGGAGATTGTTTATAAAGAATGTCCCTGGCTGCCTTATGGTGCTGCCTACTGGAGTAAAAGACAGGTTTATAAACATGAAGGTTCTGCAGTATTTACAGAGTTAGTCTTATGAAGGAATTTTGTAATGTATCATAACTGAGTTCAGCTGTAAATAAAGAAACACTTCAAGTATTCACACACTACAGGTAATCCCTCACCTACCACTCTTTTACCGACACCTCTTTTGGGTATCCATGTTTTATATTTTGTGCGCCTTCTTACCAACCATGGCGTCTAGTTTTGAGTAATTTATCTGTGGTTTTCATGAGACTTTTAGCCCAGAGCGGCGGGAATGTTCGCTGGATCAGTTCTATCTAGGGCTACAGGTCTGGCTATCCAACTATTGAATAAGATATTTAACTTACATAAGCATAATTTATAAGATATTTAACTTATATAAACATTGAAAGATATAAATTTAACCTTGTAAGATATTTAACTTATATAGCAGTAAAAGTGGTATAGGATGGTAGCCTGAGAAAGTGTAATGGTCGCTGGTCAGTGTGTTGTCATGTACTAACCAAACAACAACTTTTTGGCCAGAGTCTTCAACAGAGCCAACATCACCTAGAAGTAAGAGTCCGCTGGTTGGAACTAGAACGCGGTAATCTGAAACAGCTGGTTGGTCTACTAGCACAGAGCTTACCCAAGGACAACCTCTCTACCATCCCCCCCAACCTACAGCGCTTCCTGCCCCCCACTGACGTCAGTAAGGTGAGAGCTTTACTGAGATTGTCCCTGAAATTTTCTTATTTTATTGAAATTAATTACATCCAACTTCAAATTGTAATGTAAGTAAAGTTTGTGTAATGTTTTTACATCGGTTGAAGTTTAGTTATTTCACTATTATTTATACAGTACCACTAACCCTAGTGTTTAATACTGCACATTTACATTTTGAAACTCATTATTTATGCTATACAAATATCCCTCGAAATAAGAATGTTCGACATACGAAAGTTTTCTTATACGAATTTCCTAAATTAACACCACTTTTGTGAGATATGAAACCTTTCCCCGCTTATAATGAATTTGGGTCCCGGCAAAAATTCAAATCACGTGCCGAGTCAGCCTGGGGCGGCCACATGCCTCCTCTGCCTACCAGGCTGAGGTAGGAGTTATGTTATGGTTATTTCTCAACTCATAATTTTGGGAACTGTATATAAACATAACTTCCTTCTTTGTTTTTCTTTTCATTCAGTCACATGCACACACAATCCTACACACAGAATGTACAAAAAATATAAATAATAATTATCATAAGGGCAGAAACTTAAAGGAATATAGACGTATTATGTGTGTGAGAACTGGAGGTGGTGGTGGTCCTCCTGGCTGTCAACACCCCACCTCCCCAGTGATAAAGATTAACGGGATTAATTTTGTTTCAGGATTAAACTTTTCTCTTATAAAATGTCCTGGACTTGACTTAGTAGAATATAACTTACTTTGCTGGAATCTTTGTAAGATAACCATTAATTTGAGTATAAACATCTCATAGTTTGCATAAGAGATAAAATTATTTAGTCCTTGCCGTAGTACATTTGAGTACAGTAATATGCTGCTCAAAATTATGGCTTTTTCACAGGGAAAGTTTGTATAACTAACCCCAGTGGTCAGGATATTATGGTATTGTATGTTACAGAGTATTTCAAATAAATTCTTTGTTTAGTTCTGTACATAGAGACTTAGAGATAGAAACTAATAATTTGAGTTTATTAATACCAGTACTCTTCATATACAGTAAAATACTTATTTTTACCTTATCATTTAACTTGTCATTTAAGGATATCAGAAACATCTCATAAAGGATCATTATGGCATCAAATTCATCTCTTTCACACAAATAGAAGTTAATAACGAATGCTGTGAGGAAGAGAAGGAGATGAGAAGAGTCCAGTTGGGGGTGAAGTGATCCCTCCCCCAGGGTCGCCTTACTAATTGTTTGTCACCAACTACAGTACTGTACTGCCTCGTTCATCATACAATATTGTTTATTTGTTTTTCATTAATTAGTAAAGATACATTGTAATAATCTGTGCTTATTAATACCTGTACCCTTCATATGCAATACAGTATAGTACTGTACTGTACAGTATATACCTCATAGGTAAAATATGTCATTCAAGACATCTTCAGTTTCATAAGATCCACTAATCCCCCACCCAAGAAAAGGTGACCTGACACTGCATCAGGTCAGGTTAGTAATGTGACCCAATAATCTCCCAGCCAACCTTCATGACAAGTGTTAAGACATGATTAGTTATGTACTACAGTTAATTGAGTGAAGTGTCTGCCTATTGTAGGGTAAGATGACAGGATCTGCTGGAGTACAATATATATGCAGTTCCCAAGCGTTTTAGTGTAATTCACAACTTCAGGGGTGAGTACAGACTAAGGAGTAATACTTGACAAGGCTATTATATACAGTAGAGGAGAGTGAGATCAAGTCCCTAGGGACAACAGGTGTCCACCATATTCAGGTCATAATGAGTGAGGGTCTTATTGTGTGACACATCTGTGTGTTTGTGGCTGCATGGTAGTGAGTTAAATATCAGCTTTTGAGGAGTGCTTGGCAACACTCCTTTCCACTCCATCTCTCTAATCACCCACACCTTTCTCACTCCATATTTTAAAATGTTATGTAATGTAACGTTGAAGGGGAACAACTTTGCTCATTTATACTTATACTTATCACAATCTCCCTAAAAATACTTAAGGTTTTGTGTTTATTCAAGTCATCTCCAGGTCCTAAAACCCACTAATCCCCACCCAAGAAAAGGTGACCTGACATTGTATCAAAAGGCCAGTAATATGAGACCACTAATACCCCACCCTACATCCACCTGACATTGTGTCGGGTCAGGTCAGTTACACAAGACCCACGTCTCCCCCACAGCTCCAAGGGAGTGAAAAATAACAGTCTTTGCTGTAACACACAGCTTCATTTACGACCATATCATATAGACTTTTAATTTTTAGATATATTTATTTTACCAGACTTTTAGATAAACTATTCTGGATTATTATAGTAAAGAAATGGAGTTTCTAACTTAATTAGAACTGTATTTACAGATTCCGGTAGTTTAGACTCGAGGAAAACATCCCCAGCACCCAGAAACGTTCTGGGGTAGTGGGCTAGTGTCCATCTGTGCAAGAGGTCTAGTTTAGACACTCGGAAACTTTTCCCAGTAACCGGAAAAGGTTCCGGGGATAAGGAATTTTTCCGGGTTTGAGAAAGTCGTCTGGTTAGCCGGAAATCTCTCATCCCCGGAAGTGCTCTGCGCCAATTGTTCTGGCTAACAGGGATATCACTGTATTCTCATATGATCAGCCTTTTATGGTGCATGTTTCGTCATAAATAATATAATATAATAGAACATCAATTTAACGTGAAATATGTTCCAAGAGGTCGCTTTAAATCAAAGTGTTGTTTCAATGGAATAATTTAGTTTGGTACTTGAGAGAAACACTAAATACCAAAAAGACTTTTATTAACTAATAAATATGAGAAAAATATATGGTGTAATGCTATATATGCAGCAAGCACTCCCTGCAGTTGAGTTGAGAGCTGGACGGTACTGGTACTGCATGGTACTGTACTGTACTGTACTGTTCTGTCTGCTGCCTCGGGCCACTGACCCTCTCCCTGGCCCGACTGAGTCTACCTAGATGCTCCTCAGCCCATCTCCTAGAGTAAACAAAACATTGTTTACCCTTGGCAACATCTGGCGAAGCATTGCCTGCTCTAATTTTCCTCTCGTTGAGCTTGGTGGTGCGGACAGAGCTCTCCGGCAGTCCACGCCCCACACTTGAAGCACCACTTCCACACTCCAGTGCTTCTAGCACCTTGTTTTTCTGCTCCAGTGTAATTGCTTGCCTTGATTTCTTGGTCTTTAGTGTAGTTAATGAAGTAGTAGCTGGCCTCTTGGACATAGTGGTGATGGTTGCTGCACGTGGTAGAAGGAGATAGTGTCACACAGTATGTCCGTTCACTAGAGCGTCGGTGTGGGAGGGTGGCGGCCAACCATGTAGCGTGCCCAGAGAGGCGTCTGGTGGGATATATTCGGCACAAAACTTAATATAGTGTGTATTTCCATATGACGCGCCTGATGAAAACTCGCATTAAATAGGAAAGATTTGCTTTAAATTGATACGGTGTCCTTAATTGTGGGTGTCACTTTAAATCAAGAATTTTAAATCGATTCACGTTATATCGACGGTCTATGGTATTAGATAATATAAAAAATATATTATATATAATTTTATATCAAATAAAATGACAATCTGAATGAGAACGTAATTTATTCCCCGTTGTTGTTGCTGTTGGCGGTGGTGGCAGTGGTGGTCATGCTTGCTTTAATTTATTCATTATATTCTTGTATGATCAGTCTCTTATGGTGTATGTTTCATCATTAATAATATAAATTATTAAATAATGTAAAAAATAAAATATACAATATGAAATCTGACTTCAAAATAATGTAGACACGTGGACTGTGTCAGGTGTGTGTGTGTGTGTGTGTGTGTGTGTGTGACATGGATGATGCAATATTTCAGGGTTTGGATAAATGTTTCTTGCTGAGAAGGGGTCCAGAATATCCAAAATCCAGACTTTCGAGGATTGACTGTACAGTACTATACATGTGTTATGTGTTCCCGTACTCCCCAGACTGAAACAAAAGAAGCAGCCAATCAGAAGCCAGTGGAAGGGGGAGAGAAGGAAGAGGCAAAGGAGAGCGGCGATAACATCTCTTCGTCGCTGCCGTCTCAGAGTAACCAGCATCACCAGCTTCACACAGGTCCCAGGGCTGTCTCCATGGACTACGGCTTGATGCAGCGTTATATTAAGAATCTCGTTGGTAATGATTAACCGTCTCTTGTCCTCCCTGGTACGGTACCCTCTCTGGACAGTTAGTTGTTGTGGAGGTACGTGACGGCCCTGGATTGTGATTTTGTACGAAAAACAATTGTAAATTTATTGCAATGGTGCCCTGATAAATTAGTGAATTTAGAAATCAATGTAGAAGTCATTGTAAATACTCTGGTACTGTAGATGTAAACTAAAAATGGATATATAAACCAGAAATGTAATTTTTATTTATTTGTTTTATTTTTTTATTTTTTGAGGCTTTGGTACCAATGATAATATGAGAAAGATCACACAACTGAGATTATCTTTGTGTGTGATGACAAGTGATGAGACTTATACAGTACAGTACAGGGACCCCAGGTACAGTACTGGAACCCCAGGTACAGTACAGGGACCCCAGGTACAGTACAGGGACCCCAGATATAGTACAGGGACCCCAGATACAGTACAGGGACCCCAGGTACAGTACTGGAACCCCAGGTACAGTACAGGGACCCCAGGTACAGTACAGGGACCCCAGATATAGTACAGGGACCCCAGATACAGTACAGGGACCCCAGGTACAGTACTGGAACCCCAGGATACAGTACAGGGACCCCAGGTAGAGTACTGGGACTCAGGTACAGTACAGAGACCCCAGGCACAGTACAGGAACCCCAGGTACAGTACAGGGACCCCAGGTACAGTACAGGAACCCCAGGTACAGTACAGGGACCCCAGGCACAGTACAAGGACCCCAGGTACAGTACAGGGACCCCAGGTACAGTACAGGGACCCCAGGTACAGTACAGGAACCCCAGGTACAGTACAGGGACCCCAGGTACAGTACAGGAACCCCAGGTACAGTACAGGGACCCCAGGTACAGTACAGGAACCCCAGGTACAGTACAGGGACCCCAGGTACAGTACAGTACCCAGACACAGAACAGGGACCCCAGGTACAGTACAGGGACCCCAGATACAGTACAGGACCCCAGATACAGTACAGGGACCCCAGATACAGCACAGGGATCCCAGGTACAGTACAGGGACCCCAGGTAGAAGTAGGACCCCAGGTACAGTACTGGAACCCCAGGTACAGTACAGGGACCCCAGGTACAGTACAGGGACCCCAGATATAGTACAGGGACCCCAGATACAGTACAGGGACCCCAGGTACAGTACTGGAACCCCAGGTACAGTACAGGGACCCCAGGTACAGTACAGGGACCCCAGATATAGTACAGGGACCCCAGATACAGTACAGGGACCCCAGGTTGCAGTACTGGGACCCCAGATACAGACCAGGGACTACAGGGACCCCAGATACAGTACAGGGACCCCAGATACAGTACAGGGATACAGGGACCCCAGATACAGTACAGGGACCCCAGATACAGACAGGGACCCCAGGTACAGTACTGGGACCCCAGATACAGGGGACCCCAGGGTGGGACCCCAGGTACAGTACAGGGACCCCAGATACAGTACAGGGACCCCAGGTACAGTACAGGGACCCCAGTACATACAGGGACCCCAGGTACAGTACAGGGACCCCAGATACAGGGGACCCCAGATACAGTACAGGGATCCCAGGTACAGTACAGGGACCCCAGGTGTACAGGGACCCCAGATACAGTACAGGACCAGATACAGTACAGGGACCCCAGATACAGTACAGGGACCCCAGGTAGAGTACTGGGACTCAGGTACAGTACAGAGACCCCAGGTACAGTACAGGGACCCCAGGTACAGTACAGGAACCCCAGGTACAGTACAGGGACCCCAGGCACAGTACAAGGACCCCAGGTACAGTACAGGGACCCCAGGTACAGTACAGGGACCCCAGGTACAGTACAGGAACCCCAGGTACAGTACAGGGACCCCAGGTACAGTACAGGAACCCCAGGTACAGTACAGGGACCCCAGGTACAGTACAGGAACCCCAGGTACAGTACAGGGACCCCAGGTACAGTACAGTACCAGGATGATACAGGCAGGAATTATTATAACGTCTTTATCAGGAATGTTAAATATCCCGACTACTGTATTTGTTTCCTTCACTATTACCTAAGGTCCCCAATACAACATTTAAGAGTAACTCTGTATTAGTAATTAAATTATTAGAAGAACAAAATTAATACTGTATATCCACACTGATGGGTAATGGACAATAATTATGGTCCCTTGTAAATACATAGTTATTGTTAGTTGTTAAAATTTCTCCGTTAGCGTTTGACATTTGTTTTTGAGAAGTGTGCATATATATATATATATATATATATATATATATATATATATATATATATATATATATATATATATATATATATATATATATATATATATATATATATATATATATATATATATAATAGTTAACTGTACATAATTGTTGTTAGAGACAGACACAACACTTGGACTGTGTTGAGAACTTCTTATGATTAAAATGTTTCCCATAAATCAATTACATTGTCTAATATTAAGTATATATTAGTTAAAGGAGGTTCTTGTTACATGGAACAGTTGCTCTCAAGTGAAAATTGTTTGCTATATTGAGTGTAAATATTTTGGAGAATTAACCATATAGGTTATACTGTGTGTTATAGTGTAAAAATGTTTAGTAAGTTGTATGAAAACATATTGGAAATTTATGTTTTGTCCAAATCTACGTAGAGGAAGTATTAATGTTGACGCCTGACGGAGAAGTTGTCACTAATGCTAGTCAATAATATTAATGTAATAATTCATTTAACACTGTATTTCACTCAGTCGACCTACCTCTGTGTGTCAGGGCAGAGATAAACGTGTCAGTCACCAGCTGCTGCCTCACTAACACACTGTCTCTCACACCTTACTAAAATATGGATTAAAATTAAGGTCAGAGTGTCATCAGGATTTATATTCAGAAGAAACAGCGACATCAAAAGCTTGACTTAGACAAAACAAAATGAAAAAGGTCAAAGTAATAAATTTTTTTTGGTCGCAATAATGAATCTTATATGACAACATTTTTCAGCGTGTATGTTGTCATACTGTGTGTGTGCCCTGCCATCTCTCTCTCCTTATCTTGCTGCTTATTGTCATTATTTTAACACTATTGATAAGGTTTAATGTGCAAACAACTCAAATTTGTCTTGCATGTGATGTAATGCTAACTTACTGTATAAGTTCTGTGTATAGTAAACCTTGTCAGTAACAGATTCCTCCCAATAATGGACAGGACTTGCAAGAGTTAGTCTGGTAATGGAAGGGTTGACTGTTTGTGTAGTGTGTTGGTGGTGCATGAGGTGTCTGCAAACTGTATATGCATGATACTACTGAACTTACTTTGGAATTACAGTATAGTGTAGTAGTTTATGACATGCATTAGTCTCTTTAGATGATCATATTTTAGCAGACTGGCCACAACTAACTGATGTGTTATGGTGCCATCACTTGATGTACTGTACTGGGGTGGTGATTTGTGTTCAATGTTACAATTTGATTGAGGTCGTCACTGTGTCCTGTGACCTGACCGGTCCTCACAGTCACTAAAGATTATAAACTTTGGTTGGTCACAGTACAGTATATGTAGGAATAAGTAGGTTGTATTATAAAATATTTCTTGGTAACATAACTAAAGTGTTCACTATTTGCTCATCATCTTTTATTGTGTTTTTTAGATAATATATGATTCAGATGCTTTAGTAATTTAACAATTTATGAAACAATATCCTCATTACTGTATTATTTTACATATACATTTTCTCCTCAACTTACGACAGGGTTCTGTCCCGACGACCAGGTCGTAAGTCGAAAAGGTGAAAATAATACATAGAAATACTAAAATGGGTGTCTCTTTTTCTTCTCAGCACCACGAGAACTCTCACTTTTATGCCTGCCAACCATTTTAAAGGGAATTACAAGCAAAAATTTTGTCAGTACACAGCGCGATCACTAACGTCTGGACTCAAAAATACGTAATGTGATATATATATATATATATATATATATATATATATATATATATATATATATATATATATATATATATATATATATATATATATATATATATATATATATATATATATATATATATATATACAGTCATGCGCCAGTTAACGAGTTAATGTCCTAGATACGTTCTTGGAACGTGACGTTAACCGAAATGGACGTTGTCCGATCATCACATAAACTTTTTATTTATACTTACGTGTATGTGGAATACTATATACGTACATATACACTTTTACTCTTAAATCACTACTGTAATGTGATACAGGTGATTAATTTTTATCTCGAGCAAAATACATGACTTTTATATTAAAATTATTCACTGTTTTACAAGGATTCCAGCATCGCTGGGCAGTTGGGGGGAGAGGGTAGGAGCGAGCGAGCGAGAGGGCGTGGGGGGAGGGGAGGTAGTACGTTTGACAGTTGGCACCGGCCCAAGGTCTAACGCGTGTACCTGTATATTTATCAGTTCTTAGGTGACTAAGCTTCTCTCATTTTAAAATGCCAGTGATATGACCTAGGAATATATAATTAACATAGCTGGGATTCTTGTAAGATACTGATTAATTTGAATATAAACATGTTGTAATTTGCACTAGACAAAACAATTTTAGTACCGTAATCAAATTAGTACATGTGCACTCCAGCTTTGCACTAAGGTCATTTATTTCTTTTACGTTTATTTTAGTATGGTGTGTGCATGTAAATGGTTGAAAATAAATGAAGAAATTTATGTAAATCTACCCAAAAATACAGTTGAAAAAATTTATATTATAAATGAACTACAGTACTGTACACTAATGTACTACATTTTTTATATCTTGAGCAAAATATATGACGCTTATATTTAAATAAATCTCTGTCTTGCAAGGATTTCAGCAATGCAAATTATATTATCCTAACTTTAGTCTGAGATATTATATAAAATAAACATAAAGAAATCACCAATCTTTAGTCTGGGAACACAAGGAGGGAGGTAGCCAGGAGCGTGTGGGAAGAGGGGGGAGCAGTGGGGGGAGGGGGCGGAAGGTGAGGTGACAGAATGTGGTGTTTGTTTGTTTATTTATTCGAGATAAGATATGACAGTTGGCGCTGAAGGCCTGCCTGCGTGTTTATTTATCATTACTTAAGAGTGACTAAGCTCTTCTCATAATTTGCCACCCAAACGACCTGGGTGAATATAACTTACATTGGTGGGATTCTTATAAGATAGTAATTTATTTGAATACCTGTATAAACAAGCTATATTTGCAATAGACATAACAATTTTAGTACCGTAATCATTTAGTACATGTACAGTCACGTTCAAGATTCTTCGAACACTGCTGGAGACAGCTGGCAACTCAAGGCCGTTTGTTTACTATACTACGTAGTAAAAATTATGAATGAATGTAAAAGTGATCGGTGATTGGTTACTTAGTTCCCCGTTGCTTAATTAATGGTTGGGCTTTGTTGTTTCGCATTATATTATGCCTTTCTGCTGGTATATAATGTTAATTTGATTTTAAAATGGATAGAGCAATGAGCCAACCTATATGAATTTATATTTAGATAATTAAACATCAGTAAAAATCGGTAAGTATGTTAATGAACATCATGCATCGGGCACAGCTGTGTGCAGGCTGTTTATGAGGTTGCCTGTTTATCATTAATTTATACTAATATTGTCTTCAAACGTTTAATCTAACCGATGCTAAACAAAACTTCTTTCTAAAGACGCTGATTTCTTGCAACACAAACTACTGTTTTACTTCCCTGTGTGTGCGTGTGCACATGTGGAGTGTGTGTGTGTGCATGTGGAGTGTGTGTGTGTGCATGTGGAGTGTGTGTGTGTGCATGTGGAGTGTGTGTGTGTGTGTGTATTTAATAATGACGTTATTCAATTGAAGGTGATGGTAATTAATCTTACGAACCCATCCATTCTAACACTAAATATCTCCTTCCAGTCCATCTCAAGTTCACACAACCAGTTCTTACCTAACTAAGTTGGTCTATTCACATTACTAGCTATAATTAATGGCAACTTCAAATTCTGATTTTTGTACTTTACCTCACACTCTAATTTACCTTCTGTGTTCACAATCTCTCCAGTATAAGTTCTCAACTTGACACCTGAGTCTTCTAAAGGCACATGCGCAAATAGTTTCTCATACATATCTCTACTCATTATAGAGAAATCAGCTACAGTATGCACTTCCATGGTTACAGGTGTGTCATTAATACACAAGTCCACATTATATCTATGTTTAACTTTCTCTTCGTGACTGGTGTAAATGGTAAACACATGGGCACTCTCATCATTATCAGGTTCACTAACACTCTCATGAATACTGTTTATCATTTCCTTCTCATCACCTTCAACGGCATATACTCTACCTTTATCACTTCTGGCAGGGGCTGTAATTTCTTTCTCACAGGCAGGAGCAATATGTCCAATACGCTGACAATTGTAACATTTTGAATTTTTTAACTTACACTGAAAGTTTTCGTGTTTCCCTCGGCATCTCTTACATTTTAAATCAGCATGTGTTCCTTGTTTTGTGGCATAATTCTTCCTTTTAGCTACAGTTACTTTACACACTAAGCCAACTGTTTCACTACCGACATTGGGAACAAATTCTCTTGTGTTTTTCTCTGCTAATTCCATGCTTGTTGCTATCTGACATGCTTTTTCAAAAGTTAAGTTAGTGGTGTTCATTAACTTATTCTGTATTTTTTTCATAATTCAAACCTGTCTCTTAGAGCTCTGTTCAAGAACTGTCCAAAGTTACAGTGAATGGATAA